TGGCCCTGCATGTTGGTTTTCACTAAAAAATTCTATCCTCTTTTTCTGTGTTTTCATGGTAGCTCTACGGTGGCTGCTTCCAGAAGAGGAAAAGGCCACTTCCTTCAGCATTCTCTGAACTATATGCCATGGTATCTATTATTTACATTAGACTTTTGTTATATAGAGGTCTCCAGTGCTGCAAAGAAGCAGGCGGGGGTACTTAAGAAGCAGTGTATTGTCACCAACGCAGCCCTCCCCTCTTCTCCCCTCCCCTTCCTGATGAGACCCCAGCCCCTGCCCAAAGGAGGGGGGATAATGGCCCTGGCCTGAAGCGGTGGAGGGAGGTGGGGACAGGGGAGGCAGGGATTTGCCCTGGCACAAAGGGGGGAGGGGAAATGGCCCAGGCCCCTTCCCGAAGCAGTAGGGGGAGGCAGAGACAGGGGGAGGCAGGGAGCACCCTGGCCCTGTCCCCATCCTGAAAGGGAGGGGGGAAATGGCTCAGGCCCTGGCCCCAAGCAGCATGGGGAGGCGGGAAGCAGCCCCAGCCTTGGCATGAAGCGACGGAGGGGAGGTGGGGAGCAACCCAGACCCCGGACTGAAACAGTGGGGAGAAATGGCCCAGGCCCCAGCCCTGGCCCAAAGCAGCGGTAGGAGGTGGGGACAGGTGGAAGCAGGGAGCAGCCCTTGCCCCGGCCCAAAGATGATTACATTACAATTACATAGGCTCATGTATAGACTTACATTATATATAGCCTGATGTCTGTAGACTTATATAGATTGTATACTGTAGACTATATAGACTTATAAGTTATTATAAGTATAATATAATAATTATAATAATGGTTATGACTACCTAATAACTTACAGTTATTATAATTATATATAATGATAACTAACATAACTTTAAGTTATCATAAGTCTATATAGACTTTTATAATAACACACTCACACTTGTATGTTTTGGGTTTGCTACCCCTACCCTAGGACTTCCTTGAACATTTCTCTTTTCAAACCTTCCTATTTCAAACATTCCCATTCCAGAACTAAGGAGAATAGTCCAGGTGGATGCTGACTGTCAGACGTGCCATTTAATATAATCACGGGTCAACCACAGTCAATCCTTCCTCTTACAGCCATGCACCACTTCACTACCAACGGCAAAACTGAAAGTTGGGGTTCTAAATCCCTGCTGCCTGGGCACTCTTCTCTCCCTGCTGCATGGCGCGCACGCACACAGATTTAGCACACACACACTCACTGCACTGACAAAAAGCATATTCCTCAGGTCTGAAGCCAGGTTAATCTGTACCAGGAAGGGTTTGGATACTTCGTCCCAACAGGGAGGTCACCCACTAGGCTTGTGCAAAGTGGCAAGTATTCGCTTCGGATTCAGTTGATTCAGAGGGACAGTGATTTGATTCGTAGATTCGAATCACTGTCCCAATTTGATTCGGCTGAATCAGATCTGAAGATTCCGCACAGCTTCAGAGATTCAGCTATAGACTAAACAGGCAGCAGTCATTAACACACTGGACACAGCTGCCTCCAGCTGGCAAGTCTGTTGCAGTTGGGGGAGGGGGGAGGGAAGGGATGTGGGGGAGGGAGGGCTTGGGCTAGGACAAGATGCCCAGTCAGGGCGGGGAGCATGGGACTCAGGGATGTGGGTCGGGGGGTGCAGGATGCAGGCGCGGCAGTGCTGGTAGCAGGGGGGGTATTCCCTGCTGCATTCACCCCCTTCTGCCCGTAGTGAGCTATGCCTGCATTCTGCTCCCCCACCCCGGTGGGCTGGGCAAGCAGCAGCAGAGCATAGCTCCTGCTCCAAGCATGGCCGTGCCCACATCCTTTGCCCTCTCTGCCCTCCTCCCCATATCCCGTGTCCCCCACTCCAGCTGGGCAGCTTGTCCCAGCCCCAATCCCTTGCTCCCCCACACATGTTCCCTCTCCACTCTGCCCACCACAACAGAATTACCAGCTGGAGGCAGCTGTGTCCAGCATGGTGACGACTGCTGCCTGTTTATTCTATGGCCAAATCTCTAAATCAGCTGAATCTTTTCTGAATCTATTCAGAGGCTTCTGATTCAATTCAGAGCTTTTACTTGGTCTCCTGATTAAATTCAGATTTGGAGATTTGGTCTCCAAATCGGACCTGATCTCCTTCAAGTTGAATCGGTTACCAAAGCTTCACACAGCTCTATCACCCACCCACTGTCACTCCCTCCTATGCACCACCACTTTACTACCACTGGCAAAGATGAAAGTTGGGGCTCTGAATCTATTCTGCCTGGGCACTCTTTTCTCCCTGCTGCATGGGAGGGAGGGAGGGACGGACGGACGGACGGACGGACACTTTTCCATTGGGGGAAAGAATCTTTGGAGTCAGCAGTCATTTTTTTTTTTTTATGAATCTCCTGACTGATTTGTAGTTTCCTCCTCTTGTTGGGAAGAAAAAGGAGGTCACCCACTGTCAAGCCTTCCTCTTAGAGCCGTGCTGCACAACTTTACATCCTACCAGAGAGGTCATTTAGTAACCCATGTAAACATTTGTAAGTACATTTGTAACCCGCGTAGACCATGTAATACAAATGTAACTTGCTCCTGCTTTTGCTATTGAAAAGAAAACCAATAAAGAGAGTAATGGATTGTTGAAAGACAATTAATCTTGTGATTGACTGGCTCCTTTCTTTTGTGAAACTATTAGCAAAAGTTTGAATCAAAAGAAAGCATCTCCAGGCTGCATCACCGGTGGGTGCAGTTATGCATCATCTCTCCAAACCAGCCCCATGAAGAAAGAAAAGATGAAGAAAGAAAACATGCCACACAAGTAGTCAAAAAAAATTACAAAACATTATTACAAAATTTACAAAACCTTATTAAAAAACAAAAGGGGTGGGTGCATAAATACAAAAAATGTAAAAAAAGGTTGCTGTTGAGCTTTGGGTGGAATATGACCTCCCCCCATCCCTTCAGTCACACTCCTAAGGTGGACTTCAGACTATTTACTCGGCCCCCACCCATCCCCCATGACTGGCCAGGGGAGGGCGGGTGCCTGGTGACAATATACTTAACACTTCTACCCACGGAACAGTAGGTGCCAGTGTGTAATGATCCCCCCCACTCCCAACCACTGCCAGACTCCAAGCAGCAACACTCTGCCATGTGTAATGAGCCCCTCACCCTGCTCATCCTCCCCTCCACACCTCCATCTGCTACACTGCACATTCCTGCAGACAGACACAGATGTTTAGTTGAAAATTTTAGAAGAATTTATTGTATTGAAAAGAAAGGGCACTGCTAGTTGCTGTCAGCAATATGTGCTGCCAGGGAGTCCCGAACAAGTACTGCTCGACCAGCTTCTCCTTGTTGATATCTCCTTGGTCCCTGTGCTGCTGCCTGGCCATGTCTCTGTCTGCCTGCTGCTTGTTGCACTTCTTCAGCCCACGACTCCCTGAAAACTTCTCCATGGTTTTCACAGATGTTGTGCAGCATGCAGGCTGCCACTACAAATGCCATGATATTTTCTGGCTCCACTTCGAGTCAGCAGGTAAGCGCCTGCCAATATCCTTTCAGTCAGCCAAAGGCACATTCAACAGCCATCCTGCAGTCGCTCAGACGGTAGTTGAAAAGCAGCTTTTGAGTCCAAAACTTTCCCTCCATAAGGCTTCATGAGCCAGGGCTTTAGGGGGTAGGCAGTATCCACTAATATAACTGGGGAATAGCAACACTGAGATCACTGTCTCATGGGTTCTGGGTGCCTAGTGTCCTTTCTCTACGAGGCCAGGGAGAGCAGAGTTTCTGAACATATACGCTGCTGGCCCACCCCATAAAAATGTTTGTGAACCAGCCCCAGTGGACCACCATGGATTGCAGCATTACAGAGGCAAATCCATTCCTGTTTGTGAAAGACCTCCCCCTCCCCAAAGGGCACAGCACTGGGATGTGAGTGCTGTTTAGAGCCCCCATGCAGTTAGGGAACCCCTTGTCATTGAAGCCACTTATGACCTGCTGTGGATTCCCAAGGCAGATACATTTTTTGCAGTGATGTCCTTTAGCAGTTGGCATACCTCATGACTTGCCACCCCAGCTGTACAGGGAGCCACACTGAACTGGTTTGCGACGTAGCGGAGGCTGCACGGGGTGGCCAGTTTCATGATGGCCATTGCCACTCTCTTGTCTGGCCAGATACCCTGATGCATGTTGGTGCCCTGCCTCGCAATGTGGGGCCCCCACATTGAGATGATATGATAAAACATCTCTTTGGTCATACAGAACGTCTCCAGCCACTGCTGGTTGTTCCAAGTGGTCAGCATGATTCGCTCTCACCAGTATGAGCTGCTCTTGCAGGCTCAGGCCATGTGGATACTGCTCCTGAGCTTTCTCAACACAGCCCAGTCATGTTCCAATGCATCCTTGCATTCCACTGTGTTTTCCCACCACTCCTTGGTACCTCTGTTTTCTTTTTTGCACTATTCTGACAGCTTGAATACACACTAACAGTGCAAATGCTACACTGCTTATCTGGCATCATTACTTTCATCCAGGTCACCAGTACATCACATCACCATCTCAGCATCACCATCCTCTCCTCCTCCTGTTCACCCATGTCCTCCAGATTCTCCATGTCAGAGGAGCTGCATTGTTTTCCATTCTCCACTTCCCATTTCTCATGCATTTGCTCCTGATTCTCCATTTGATGCCTCTTTGTCATCAGCCACTTGTGACATCTCACACATTTAGTGTATCGACACCCCACACCGCCAGGCGGCGGGAGGGGGAGTTGATCTCTGTCTACCTAGCTGCATTCCATAGGTGACCGCTGGTTTTTCAACAAGTACCCCCGGGGCACTGGGTGTTTGTGCAGCCATACTCTGATACATCAAGTTTTTCATAGTTTCATAGTTTCTAGGGTCGGAAGGGACCTGGGCAGATCATCTAGCCCGCCCCCCTGCCATGGCAGAAAAGAGTACTGGCGTCAAACGACCCCAGCAAGATGGTCATCTAACCTCCTCTTAAAAACCCCCAGGGTGGGAGCCTGTACCACCTCACTTGGAAGCTGGTTCCAGACCCTAGCCGCCCTGACCGTGAAGTAGCGCCTCCTGATGTCCAACTTGAACCTTCCCTCCGCCAGCTTGTGACCGTTATTCCTGGTCACTCCTGGCAGCGCTCGGGGAAACAGGGACTCCCCCAGTGCCTGTTGATCCCCCCTGACTAGGTTATAGCAGGCCACAAGATCCCCCCTCAGCCTTCTCTTCTGGAGGCTGAACAGGTTCAGGTCCCGTAACCTTTCCTCATAGGACCTGCCCTGCTGTCCCTTGATCATGCGAGTGGCCCTCCTCTGGACCCTCTCGATGCTGT